GCTTTTCCCCGGCGGGCCACCTCTTCCTTCCGCCAACCCTAACGCCCGCCTCCAAATACTTATTTGTTTATCCAACAATCCTGGCGCCAGCGCTAGTCCGACGTCCATAAAATAATTGCAGGCTAAAAAATGAAGGCTCACTTGCCCTCGAGGACCCAGACACACAGAGTCATGGATTTACGAGCCACGTATATGTCAATACACAGGTCCTCACAGACCCTGTCAAACACAGAGATCCAGTCACAGTAAGCTACACACACGCGCGCGCACACACACACACACACACACACACACACACACAGTGTTGAGGACCCAGAGAAGAGGACTTGCGTGTTTGCCCAACTCTTGCTCCTCAAATGGCCTAGAACAGGCTCTGGGCTGGTGCACAGCCTCCTCTCCTCTGTGCCCAGCCTCCTCTCCTCTGAACAGCGGGATGAGGGTCCTAGCCCATTGAGCCCAACTCCTCTCCTGCAACACCACAGATACTAGTTCTGTGTAAGAGCCAAAAGGACCCTAAGAGGGGGAAACTGAGGCCAGGAACAAAATTTGATCCTGCTGGAGTCACCCAGGAAGGCAGGCTGAGCCAGGATGGATCCCAGCCTCCTTCCCCTCCAAGCTGGGCTTCAGGGCTCAGGGTCTCTACCTATGTGCTCGCAGATGTGGTGGTGCTGGAGGTGAGCAGCTCCCTGGCACAGCCTTCCCTGTTCTACCACCTTGGTGTGCGTGAGAGCTTCAGCATGACCAACAATGTGCTTCTCTGCTCCCAGGCTGACATCCCTGACCTGCAGGCCCTTCGGGTAGGTGGCCAGGTGGGTAGTGGAGGCAGGCACGGGGTGGGGTAGGGCCTACCCAGAACATCAGTATCTGTCTGTTCCTTTCAGGAGGACATTTTTCAGAAGAATTCAGTAAGCAAAATCCACCCCTCACCCCAGCGTGCCCTTTGACTTCCATTATGACCTCTGACCCCCCCACACTACCTTTCCTGGCCTCCTGGTCACCTCTAATCCCCCTAATACCCTTTAACATCTGTGTGACCCTCTGCTCCCTATTGCCTTCCTCCGTGCAGTGTGCCCCTTCCCTGCTATTCCAGTTCCCACCGCTGCTGACCTCTGACTCCCTCACTGCCTCTCTCGAACTTGGTGTTGATCTCTGACCTCTACGATTCCTGCCTCCCTCCCATCAGGATTGTGTTGGCAGCTATACGCTGATCCCCTATGTGGTGACAGCCACTGGTCGAGTGCTATGTGGTGATGCAGGCCTCCTGAGAGGCCTGGCTGACGGGCTAGTCCAGCCCGGGGTGAACACTGAGGCCCTGCTCACACCTCTGGTGGGCCGGCTTGCTGGTCTGCTGGAGGCGACGCCCACGGACTCTTGGTAAGGGGCTGGGCGAGAAGGGGCACCCCGAGGAGGCTGGAGAGTGCAGTGGCCTGCGCTGAGGGACGGACCCCACCATTCCCACTCCTTCCCTCCCTCTCCTGCTGTGGGCATCAGTGGCTATTTCCGGGAGACCATTCGGCAGGACATCCGGCAGGCCCGGGAGCGGTTCAGGGGGCAGCGGCTGCGGCAGGAGCTGGCTCGCCTGCAGCGGAGACTGGACAGTGTGGAGCTGCTGAGCCCTGACATCATCATGAACCTGCTGCTTTCCTACCGAGATGTGCAGGTGTGCTCAGAGTGGCAGTTGGGGCATAGCATTCGGTGTCAGACAAACCCAAGATCAGCTCCTGGCTGTGCCACTCAAATTACCTGACATCTCTGAGCCTGAGTTTGTAATGGGGATGATCATGTCACTGTCTCCCAGGGCATTTGTGAGGTTGGGGCACACAGTGGGTTCTCCATGTAAGGTGTGGTGTCTGCACTACCTGCCAGGCCTGAGGGAGGTGTGCAGAGGATGGTGGGTGGAAAGGTGGGGTGTCAGGGGTGGGAAGGGACCCCCAGCTCAAGGTGTTCCTCAGCTGGGACCAATGGGACCCACCAGAGGCCATCGTGTCAGAGCATGCTGTTCCTTCGCACAGGACTACTCAGCCATCATTGAGCTGGTGGAGACGCTGCAGGCCTTGCCCACCTGTGATGTGGCTGAGCAGCACAACATCTGCTTCCACTATACATTTGCCCTCAACCGGTGAGTGGCAGAGTAGCGCTCAGGTCATAGCCACGCGTCCCTGCTGTGTGAGGTCATTGCTGTCTGGGATCAGTGCTGTTCAGGGAATTTGCTGACTAAGGTCATGCTGATGTTATGGTCCTGTTGTTCCATTACTGCTGCCCAGGGTGGGGTGAGGTGGTACCCTCGGAGAGGTTACAGCTGTCCAAGGTCACCTCTCTTCAGAGTCATTGCAGCTAGAAATCACTTTCATCTGGGATCACTACCTCTAGAAAGGTCAGTGTTGACCAAAGTCACTGCCATTCTGTATTCATTACTATCAGGTCCCTGGAAGGGTCCCTGCTATTCAGCACCTGGGGATCCCCAGACATAGTGGTACAGGGCCATCAGGCAGGTCCCCAGCCCATCTTCCCCCTACCCTAGGAGAAACAGGCCTGGAGACCAGGAGAAGGCATTAGCTGTGCTGCTGCCACTGGTACAGGGAGAGGGCTCTGTGGCACCTGACCTATACTGCATGTGTGGCCGTGTCTACAAGGACATGTTCTTTAGCTCTGGCTTTCAGGATGCTGGGCACCGGGAGCAAGCATATCACTGGTAAGGGGCACAAGCAAGTGGACAGTGGGCTGAGGTGTGGAGCTGTGGGCATCAGTCCAGCCTTGCATCCCTCTGCTCGACTCACAGGTATCGGAAGGCTTTTGATGTGGAGCCCAGCCTTCACTCAGGCATCAATGCTGCTGTGCTCCTCATTGCTGCTGGGCAGCGCTTTGAGGACTCCAGCGAGCTCCGGCTTATCGGTGAGCCCTAGTCCTGCACCCCTTTCCCCCCAACAGGAGCTCAGGTCAAGGAGAAAGAACGCTGGGCTGGAGTTCATCTCCCTTGGGACCTGTTCTGCCTGAACCCACACCTGAGTCCTTATACCTGTCCTGGGCCCTCATGAGCCCTTAAGCCTATGACTCTTTGTTCCTAAGCTTACATCTGTGTTCCTTCCACATACACTTGTTCTCAAGCCCTCACCTGTTTATGAGCCACTCCCCCCTGAGATCATGCCACACCTACATTTTCACCCACATCTGTGTTCCTGCCTACATGCATGTTGTGGCCCACAGCTGGGCTCTGCCCACAACTGGAACCACACTCACTAGGGCCCATGCCCCTCACTCCCAGGTATGAAGCTGGGCTGCCTGCTGGCCCGAAAAGGCTGTGTGGAGAAGATGCAATATTACTGGGATGTAGGCTTCTACCTGGGAGCTCAGATCCTTGCTAATGACCCCACTCAGGTGGCACTGGCTGCAGAGCAGCTATACAAGCTCAATGCCCCCATATGGTAAGTGGTCCCCTCTTCAGTCTTGGCCTGACTTGTGCTGTCAGCTCCTGCACCTATGTCCAACTGGCCTGAGCCCTGGGCCAATGACCTGGCTTATTCCAGACCAGTGCCCATGACACCTAATGCCCCCGTTCAGTCTGCTCTCCCTGGCAGTGCTAGCTAGTGCCTGGGCTGAGTTGGAGACAATGCTATGCCTGCAGGTACCTGGTGTCCATGATGGAAACCTTCCTGCTGTATCAGCACTTCAGACCCACACCAGAGCCCCTTGGAGGACCCCCACGCCGTGCTCAATTCTGGCTCCACTTCTTACTACAGTCCTGCCAGCTAATCAAAACAGCCGGTCCCCAAGGGGACCAGTGCTTGGTGAGGCCCGTGGAGGTGGGGGACCTGAGAGAGGGGCAGGCCCCTTCTGACCTGCGCCCCCACACCCCCTTGTCACCTGCAGGTTCTGGTCCTGGAGATGAACCAAGTGCTGCTGCCTGCAAGGCTGGAGGTTCAAGGTATGAACCCAGTGAGAGCAGTGACCCTGAGCCTGCTGGAGCCTGAGACCCAGGTGAAGTCACCACTGAGTGCCCCCCACTCACCACTAAGCATCCCTTCTCCTGAGCCTTTCTTCCATCCTCAGACCTCTGTTACTCCCTGGCACCCTCCTCTGACTCACTTTCTTCTCACAGGACTGTCCCTCCAGCTGGACCTTCTCAGACTCCTCCGTCTGCGGTATCAGGTGGGGGGCAAGGCCTGGGGCAGTCGGGTGGGGTGGGTGGTGCTGCTGGCTGGCCTGGCGCTCACTTGTGTTGTTCATCCCCTCCCAGCACCTCCAAGCGGGATGAGCGCTGCTGCTTCCTCTACTCGCTGCCCCCGGTTCAGGACTTCCAGCTGTGCTTCCCCAGCGTAGGGCACTGCCAGTGGTGCGCAGCCTCTGGGGTCGGGGTACTGAGGGATGCCCTGGGGGGGGGGGTGAGG